CGCCTGCTGCGGCGTTGTACACCTTCACACTTGACTCAGGTGCTTCTCGCTCCTTCTTTCGCGACAGCACCACCCTCACGCCGCTCAGTCGGCCGGTTCCGGTCTCCCTGGCAGACCCCTCTGGGGGTCCAGTCCGAGCTACCTCCTCCACTGTCCTCCCTTGTCCTGCCGTCCTGTCCGACACACTGTCGGTTCTTTACCTCCCCTCGTTCTCTACGAACTTGGTGGCGGGTTCTGCGGTCCAGGACGCGGGTGTTCACCAGTTCACCCCTGCCTACGAGCGTGTGACACACTGCACGTGTGCTCAGACGGGTCGTCACCTGGCTACCTTCACTCGGCAATCGGGGTCGGGCTTGTACACGCTGACCACTGCGTCCCTCAGGTAGTTGCATCTGCGTCTGCGTCCCCTCAGGTAGCTGCGTCTGCGTCTTTGTCAGGTCAGGTGTCGGCCTCCTGCTCGTGTCGCGCCTTGTCGCACCAGACCCTCCTTTGGCACCACCGCCTTGGTCACCCCTCGGTGCAGTGCCTTCGCAGCATGCACTGCCGAGTCCTTGTCTCTGGTCTTCCCAGGGTTCTTCCTCCCCTCCCACCCTCGCCTGCTCCTCCCTGTCTTCCCTGTGTCGAAGGGCGGCAGCGCGCCGCTCCTCACTCCTCCTCGTTCCCTCCCACAGAGGCTCCCCTGCAGACTCTCCACCTAGACGTGTGGGGCCCAGCCCGCGTCCGTGGACCGGGCCACGAGCGGTTCTTCCTGCTGGTCGTCGACGACTATACTCGTTACACCACGGTCCTCCCCTTGCGCACCAAGGGTGAGGTCCCTGATGTTTTGATCCCTTGGATCCGCACTACTCGTTTCCAGCTCCGCGAGCGGTTGAGGAAGGAGTTTGCCGACCTGCGTCTGCACTCTGACAGAGGCGGTGAGTTTTCCTCCGACCTCTTGGCAGCCTTCTTTGCGGAGCACGGCATTCGCCAGACGTATACGCTTCCGGCCTCTCCGCAACAGAATGAGGTTGCTGAGCGCCACATTGGCTTAGTCATGGAGGTCGCTCGTACCTCCATGATCCATGCGGCTGCCCCCCATTTTCTGTGGTCGTTTGCGGTCTGGTACGCCGCGCATCAGCTCAACCTCTGGCCCCGTGTCTCCTTACCGGAGACCTCACCCACACTACTCTGGACGGGGAAGGTTGGCGATGCGTCGCGCTTCCGGGTCTGGGGTGCTCGTGCCTTTGCCAGCGATACTACTGGGGACAAACTCTCCGCTCGAGCTGTTCCCTGTGTCTTCTTTGGCTTTGTCCCTGACATGCCTGGTTGGAAGTTTTACCACCCCACCTTGCATCGTGTCTTCCCCTCTCAGGACGTCTCACTCGACGAGTCGGTTCTCTTTTACCGTCTCTTCCCCTACCGCACTGCCCCTCTCCCCCCCCCGCCGCTCTTCCTCACTCCAAGTGCTCCCCAGGTAGACCACCTCCCCGCTCTCGGTCCTGCTCTTTCAGGTGTGTCTCAGGTAGACCCTCCTCCCTTGCCTGCGTAGGTTGAGGTCACTGGTGACTCAAGTCCTACTGCAGGTGCTGGTGCTGAGGATTCTGAGTCTGCTGTTTCGCGGTCCCCTTGGAGTAGCCGCCTTTGTTTGCGTGTGCCTCTCACCTCACAGCAGCTGCGCGATTGGTACGGTCGACGTCAGGGTCGCGCTTCTGGAGCTCGGGGCTCTACCGCTGGAGGTACTTCTGCTGGAGTCACTAGATCTGGGAGTGGTGCTGGTCCCGGAGGGGCTCGTACTGGAGATACTGGAGCTGCTGGGGCTGGAGGTGCTGAGCTTGAGGGTGCTACTGGTGGAGAACCAGAGTCTGGGGTTGCTGCTGCTGGTGGAGCTGGCCCTGGATGAGCTGGCGCTGCGGGTTCTGGAGCCACTGGTCCCGGAGGTACTTGTACTGGAGGTGCTAGAGTTGCTGAGGGTGGTGCTGCTGGAGATGGAGCTGCCGCTGGTTCTGGAGCTGCTGCTGGTGCTGCTGCTGCTGGAGCTGCTGGTGGTGCTGCTGGAGTTGGAGCTGGCGCTGGGGGTGCTGGTGCCGTTCCTGCTGGTTCTGGGGGTACTGAGCGGCCGCGGCCGTACTTCGTTCCGCTCCTTGAGCAGGTTCTTCGTCCCCCGTCTTCTCTTGGTCCTGCCCCCTCCTTAGTGTGTCCACTGCCTGTCCAATCATTGTCACAGCTACAGCCTGCCTCCCCACTGCCTTCTCCGTCTCCTTACACTGATACGACTAGAGGTCTTGTCGAGCGACGTGAGCCTGCGTCTCGTCCTGCGTCGCCTGTCCGTGTTGCTTGCACTGGTGGTCGTGGTTCGCATCAGCGTTCTCCTCCTGTCTCCGGCATGCACCGGATGACTCGGCGTCCTTCCACTGCTACGCAGCGTGTCCCTCTGCCATCTCCTCCAGAGTCCTCTCTTTGTACCCTTGCTGACCCGAAGTCTGACTCCCTTCGTGCTGCTAGTCCTACATTCACGCGTCTCCTTGCTACAGTTGTCACTGACCCTTCCTTCGAGTCTGCTGCTGCGTCTGCTCTTGATGCTGAGCTTGTCGACTTTGCTGCTTGCTGTCGTCTAGACTACGCTGCTAGTCTTGTTCCTGGGTCTGAGTCTATCTGTCCTCCGTCCGTCGCGGGTGAGTGTGCCCTTGGCACGGACGTCCTTGAGGACAAGCAGGAGGAGTTCCAATGTTTGGCTGCTGCTTCACCTCATCTCGTGTCCATGCTGCTTGCCCCTGAGGGAGACCCGGACGCACTAGACATCCCGACTCCGCGCTCTTACACGGAGGCGGTTGAGGGTCCCTACTCCTCTCAGTGGCAGGCAGCTATGGATGCAGAGATGGCTTCCTGGAGATCCACAGGCACCTACGTTGACGAGGTTCCCCCACCTGGGGCGAACATCGTCAGTGGCATGTGGATTTTCAGAGTGAAGCGGCCGCCGGGTTCTCCGCCTGTCTTCAAGGTGCGATACGTGGCTCAAGGCTTCAGTCAGCGAGAGGGAGTTGACTACTTTCAGACCTTCTCTCCCACCCCAAAGAGGACCACTCTTTGGGTACTACTGCACGTCGCTGCTAAGCGTGACTACGAGCTTCACTCTCTTGACTTCAGCATAGCCTTTCTACAGGGCAGCCTGCATGAGGAGATCTGGCCGCGCCGCCCACCTGGCTTCACTGGGTCGTTTCCTCCTGGTACCCAGTGGAGCCTCCGGCGGCCGGTCTACGGTCTCCGCCAGGCACCCCGTGAGTGGCACGACACACTGAGGACTACACTGGCGGCAGTTGGGTTTGCTCCTTCTACTGCTGACCCGTCGCTGTTTCTACGCACCGACACCTCGCTGCCGTCGTTCTACATCCTCGTGTACGTCGACGACTTGGTTTTTGCCACTGATGACACTAAGGCACTAACTCCAGCGAAGTCGGAGCTGCAGAAGAGACACACGTGCACAGACCTGGGTGAACTGCACAGCTATCTTGCCTTGCAGATCACTCGAGACAGAGCACGCCGCACCATCACCCTGACTCAGTCACACATGGTGCAGCAGGTCCTTCAGCGCTTCGACTTCTAGTACTCCTCGCCATAGTCCACTCCTCTGCCTACCGGTCACTCGCTCTCAGCTCTGCCTTCGGATGAGTCCGTAGAGCCGAGTGGCCCGTATCCAGAGCTTGTGGGCTGCCTCATGTACCTGATGACCTGCACTCGCCCTGACCTCGCTTACCCTCTTAGCATCCTGGCACGCTACGTTGCGCCCGGGAGACACCGACCAGAGCACTGGAAGGCAGCTAAGAGGGTGATACGCTACTTGTGCAGTACGTCAGGCATGTGGCTCGTGCTTGGAGGACGGGTTCCTGTTGCTCTCACTGGTCACGCAGACGCTTCTTGGGTTGACGACTTGGCTACGCAGCGGTCGTGACAGGGTTACACCTTCAGCCTTGGCTACCAGCTCCTCTTTTGTTCTCAGCTCCAGTTGTGAGGCTGAGATCTACACAGGGGCCATGGCTGCACAGGAGCTGCGTTGTCTCACCTACTTGCTGACCAACCTGGGTGAGGCGCCTTGTTCTCCCCCAGATGTGTACGTCAACAACAAGGCAATGCTTGCCTTATGTCGCGAGCACAGACTGGAGCACAGAATGAAGCACATCGCTCTTCGCTACTTCCTTGCTTGAGAGTTGCAGCAACATGGTCAGCTTTGCCTTGCTTACGTGGCCTCTCAGACCAACACTGCTGATGTGTTCACCAAGGCACTTTCGCCTCGTGACCATCAGTGCTTTTGTACTGCAATTGGCCTTGTTCCTGTGTCTTCTCACTTACTTCCTTCTTGACCCTGCCTGTACTATGATCTATACTATATACCTACGTGCCTGCTCTTGTTAGGTAGTGATCACTGTACTGTTGCTTTTGTGTATATATCTCTGCATGTGGACTGGCCTTGTGGCCCTTTGCTTGTGCTCAGATTGTGTGGTGACGTTGTGATCCACCCTGAGCTTGCTTTGCTTCTCTTGACTGGTCTTGTGACCGCTTGTTCTCCCCCACTTTGCCTATGGGGGTGTGTCAAACTTGCATGGTATAGTCTCTGTAGGCTGTATTGGGGTGGCTCATATGGAGTACAACATTTTAGGGTTTCCTACTTGTACTCCTCATGCTGCTCAATGCAATCATTCTTGCTTACTATCTTGACAGAAGGAGCACATGGATGCCGCTAAGAGGGTATTGCGCTACTTGTGCAGTACGTCGGGCATGGGGCTCGTGCTTGGAGGACGGGCTCAAGTTGTCCTCACTGGTCACGTAGACGCTTCCTGGGCGGACGACTTGGCTACGCAGCGGTCGTCACAGGGTTACACTTTCAACCTTGGCTCCGGCTCTGTTTCTTGGCGTTCTACCTGTTCGTCTTCTGTTCTCAGGCACTTCCCCTTCCCTTTAGGTCTCTCCTCCCCTTTCCCCCAGGTAACACTTCCCCTTCCCTTTAGGTCTCTCCTCCCCTTTCCCCCATGTCGCACTTCCCCTTCCCTTTAGGTCTCTCCTCCCCTTTCCCCCAGGTTGCACTTCCCCTTCCCTTTAGGTCTCTTCTCCCCTTTCCCCCAGGTTGCACTTCCCCTTCCCTTTAGGTCTCTCCTCCCCTTTCCCCCATGTCGCACTTCCCCTTCCCTTTAGGTCTCTCCTCCCCTTTCCCTGAGGTTGCACTTCCCCTTCCCTTTAGGTCTCTCCTCCCCTTTCCCCCACGTCGCACTTCCCCTTTGCTTTAGGTCTCTCCTCCCCTTTCCCCCAAGTCGCACTTCCCCTTCCCTTTGGGTCTCTCCTCCTCTTTCCCCCAGGTCGCACTTCCCCTTCCCTTTACGTCTCTCCTCCCTTTTCCCCCAGGTCGCACTTCCCCTTCCCTTTAGGTCTCTGCTCCCCTTTCCCCCAGGTCGCACTTCCCCTTCCCTTTAGGTTTCTCCTCCTCTTTCCCCCAGGTCGCACTTCCCCTTTCCTTTGGGTCTCTCCTCCCCTTTCCCCCAGATCGCACTTCCCCTTCCCTTTAGGTCTCTGCTCCCCTTTCCCCCAGGTCGCACTTCCCCTTCCCTTTAGGTCTCTCCTCCCCTTTCCCCCAGGTCGCACTTCCCCTTCGCTTTAGGTCTCTGCTCCCCTTTCCCCCAGGTCGTACTTCACTCCTGTGTCTGCATGTTTATGAACTAAGCACTTGTAGAGAATTAGGCCCTAGGCCTATAAGATGGAAGTATGCTGATGCGATGCTCGTAGCACTTGTTCTAAATTGCCCCTCGCTTTCGCAGGCTTTTCCAACGAAGGCGCCATCGCATCCACCGTTTAGGCCTCACCGCATCCCCATTTATTAGACTTTCATTTTCTTCTTCTAATGGTTATTCCCCCTTCTCAACCTCCCCCTTTGCTTTCGCAGGCTCTTCCAGGGGTGGTTCCAAGGAGCGAGGGCGCTTCTATCGTTCCCCTCTCGTCTCTGCGACAAGCTGGCCGCGCTGTCTGCACTGCAGGAGCGCGACTCGGCGCGCGCCGCCACTTGCAGAGCGGAGCTGCGGAACGCGCTGCAGCACATTGCAGGTGGAAAGAGGCAGAGGCGGACTGCCAGACGTTGTCGTCGTCGTTGGTGCTGAGGCCCCAAGCTAAGGTCGCACAGGAAGCTTACAGCCCTGGCAGACCTGCTGACAGTCGTACTATGACCCGGTTAAAAAGTAAGGGTAGTTTTGCAATGTCACTGGAGCAACAACGGCTCCAATGTATTGCACTTGGTAGCGTCGGCAGCGCTCGGTAGCGCTACCGTTTCGCTAGACGACGCTACCGAGTGAGTCAGCAAGCTTGGTCACACTTGGGCACGCTTGGTGACACTTGGTGACACTTGGTCACGCTTGGTCTCACTTGGTCATGATTGGTCACACTTGGGCACGCTTGGTCATAGATGGTCACGCTTTGTCACACTTGGTCACACTTGGTCACGCTTGGTCACACTTGGTCACGCTTGGTCAGACTTGGTCACACTTGGTCACACTTGGTCACGCTTGATCACACTTGGTTACGCTTGGTCACACTTGGTCACACTTGATCACGCTTGGTCACGCTTGGTCACACTTGGTTACGCTTGGTCACACTTGGTTACGCTTGGTCACACTTGGTCACGCTTGGTCACACTTGGTCACACTTGGGCACGCTTGGTCATAGTTGGTCACGCTTTGTCACACTTGGTCACGCTTGGTCACACCTGGTCACGCTTGGTCACACTTGGTCACGCTTGGTCACACTTGGTTACACTTGGTCACGCTTGGTCACGGCAAAAAAAAAAAAAAAAAAAAAAAAAAAAACAATCCATTACGGCACGCCATTCGGGAGCCACAACCCGGGTTGAGGCTCCCTTGGATGGCATGCCATCCGAATGGGTTTTAGTTTTTTTTCTTGCCCGCGGTCAGCTTGCTGACTCGATTGCACTGCCTGCTTATGCAGGAAGTGCAATATATATTCCAATCTTGACTCTTCTCCATGGCTCACGCTCCATTCCCGTTTCTTTACCCTACGTGGCAGTACATGTGTATGTCTGTTGTTTTCTATTACAACGTGCTTTTGGATTGGGTGTTGGTTGGCTGTTGGTACAGGGCGCGTCTGTCCGACAAACAACTACGGTATCTACAATTTTATTATGGCATTAACCGTTTGGACTGCACAGTGGAGTGTACTAAAGTTGACGTGTACTTATAGCACTTATATTAATTTATTATTTTGCAGGTGTTCGATATGCAGATGAGGATGCCAAATTACTCCTATTTCCCGTACATGCCTCATAACTTGACTGATGAGTATTTGACGAGTCAACCCCTAAGAGTTGGGGAATGATGTGCAGGATAATATTTTGCATATTGAATAGTTTTATGTTGCTCATGCATGTATTGTTGCTGGCTTTTGAATAGTAATGTTTTCAACAGTCCGCTATTCGCAACTTCTGATACGCGCGGTATAAAAAATGCAACCATGTAGTATAGAAAATACCAATAAAAAAATCATAACGATTGTGAAAGAAGTGTATACGCTTGCATAAAGTATACATGTAACGATTCTGTATAAAAAGAGTTGCGACTCAAATGAACACTAGTACCCCAAAGTTTCCTCCGGGTTAGCCCTCAGGTCAATTGTGAGTCGAGAGTCGGAAACCCCAACGTAGAGGACCCATTGACTCTCTATTGACCAGCAGAATTAACCCGAGTGTGACTCTCAGGTTAATTTTGGGTTAGGTTTGGGTGAGCACAATATGGAGATGAATCTAGGCTTTGTTCTGCAGACGCATCAGCCTGCATCAATGTGCATTGATACATTCTATGATGGCTCCAAGTGTAAGAATACTAAGCGAGGATGAATAAACTAGCAGGAAGATAGGTACAAGTACTAACCCTATATTGGGTTGTACCCCATATGGGCTACCCCACTACAGCCTACACAACATGCAACATATAAGTTTGACACACCCCCATAGGCAAAGTGGGGGAGAACAAGGGGTCACAAGATCAGTCAAGAAAAGCAAAGCAAGCTCAGGGTGGATCACGAAGTCACCACACACTCTGAGCAAAAGCAAATGGCCACAAGGCCAGTTTACATGCAGAGTTATATAATGGAGAACAAGCAGTACAGTGATCAAAACCTAGCAAGTGGAAGCATGCAGGTATAAGTATATAGATCACAGTACAAGCAAAGCCAAGAAGTGAGCGAGTGAGGCCAGGTAGGCACAAGGCCTAAAACAGTACAGAAACGCTGATGATCACAAGGATGAAGTGCCTTGGTGAAGATATCAACAGTGTTGGCCCCCGAGAGGACACGTAAGCAAGACGAAGCTGACCACGCTGCTGCAACTCTCGAGCAAGGAAGTAACTAAGAGCGATGTGCTTCGTTCTGTGCTCCAGTCTGTGCTTCTCACATAAGGCAATCATGGCCTCGTTGTCGACGTACAGAACTCGAGGAGAACGAGGTGGCTCTCCCAAGTCAGTCAGCAGGTAGGTGAGCCAGCGTAACTCCTGTGCAGCCATGGCCAGTGAGGACAACTGGACCCTGTCCTCCAAGCATGAGCACCATGCCCGACGTACTGCACTAGTAGTGCAACACCCTCTTAGCGGCCTTCCAAGTGCTCTGGTCGGTGTCTCCCGGGCGCAACGTAGCGTGCCAGACTGATAAGAGGGTAGGCAAAGTTAGGTCAAGTGCACGTCATCATATACATGAAGCAGCCCACAAGCTCTGGATACAGGCCACTCGGCTCTACAGACTCGTCCAAAAGTGGAGCTAAGAGCGAGTGACTGGTTGGCAGAGGAGTCGACTGTGGCGAGGAGTACTTGAAGTCGAAGCGCTGAAGGACATGTTGCACCATGTGTGACTGAGTCAAGGAAATGGTGCGCTGTGTTGTGTCCCGGGTGATCTGCAAGCCAAGATAGCTGCACAACTCACCCAGGTCAGTGCACGTGTGTCTCTTGCGCAGCTTCGACTTCACTAGGGACAGTTTCTCAGTGTCAGCAGTGGCAAAGACCAAGTCATCGACGTACACGAGAATGTAGAACAGCGGCAGAGAAGTGTCGGTGCGTAGAAAGAGCGACGGGTCAGCAGTCGAAGGAGCAAACCTAAGAGCCGCAAGTGTCGTCCTCGGTGTGTCGTGCCACTCGCGAGGCCCTTGGCGGAGGCTGTAGACTGGCCGCTGAAGGCTCCATTGGGTACCTGAAGGAAACGACCCAGTGAAGCCAGGTGGGCGGCGAAGCCAGATCTCCTCGTGCAGGCTGCACTGTAAGAAAGTTTTGCTGAAGTCAAGAGAGTGAAGCTCGTAGTCACGCTAAGCGGCAACGTGCAGCAGTACCCGAAGAGTAGTCATCTTCGCGGTAGGGGAGAAGGTCTCGAAGAATTCAACTCCCTGTCGATGACTGAAGCCTCGTGCAATGAAACGAGCCTTGAAGGCAGGCGGAGAACTCGCCAGCCGCTTCACCCTGAAAATCCACATGCCATCGACTATGTTCGCCCCACGAGGGGGAACTACGTCGACGTAAGTGCCTGTGGGCTTCCAGGTTGCCATCTCTGCGTCCATGGTTGACTGCCACTAAGAGGAGTAGGGACCCTCAATCGCCTCTGCGTAAGAGCGCGGGGTCGGGATGGCTGGTGCATCCGGGTCTCCCTCAGGTGCAATCAGCATGGACACGACATGAGGTACAGCAGATGCAAAGCACTCAAAGTCCTCCTGCCTGTCCTCAAGGACGTCTGTGCCAAGAGCACACTCACCCCTGACGGACGGAGGACAGACAGACTCAAGCTCAGCAACAAGACTAGTTGCGTCGAGATGACGGGCGGCAGCAAAGCTAACAAGCTTAGCAACTAGGGCAGACGCAGCAGTGGACTCAAACAAAGGGTCAGTGGCAATAGTGGCCAGAAAATGTGTGACAGTAGGACAAGCAGCATGAAGTAAGTTGGACTCCCAGTCCGAAACGTCAGCAAGAGAGGACGCAGGAGGAGACGGCAAGGGGACACGCTGTGGAATAGAGGAAGGACGAAGTGCCATATGGTGCGTGCCGGGAACAGGAGGAGGGCGCTGACGCGGAACACAGCGACCAGTGCGAACAGCGCGAAGAGGCGAGGCAGGATGAGACGCAGTCTCATGACACTCAGTAAGATCTCCTGTCTGCTCAGTGTAAGGAGAAAGAGCAGTTAGTGGGGAGGCTGGCTGTAGCTGTGGCTACGACTGGTTATGTGGTGGACACAATATGGAAGGAGTGAGGCCAGTAGAAGACTGGAGACCAAGAACCTGCTCGAAGTAGTGGAACAAAGTACGGTCGCGGCCGCACAGTGCCTCCAGAACTAGCATCGACAGCGCCAGCACCCCCAAGGCCAGCGCCTCCAGCTCTGAGGTCTCCAGCTCCAACGCCTGCAGCACCACGACCTCCAGCAGCTCCATTACCTCCAGCACGAGCATCTCCGGGTCCAGTGGCTCCAGCACCTCGAGGACCAGCAGCTTCGCTACCTCCAGCGACAGCACCTCCAGCTCTAACGCCTGCAGCACCACCAGCTCCAGCAGCTCCACTACCTCTAGTACGAGCACCTCCACGACAAGCGGCTCTAGCACCTCCAGCACCTCCAGGACTAGCAGCTCTAGTGCCTCCAGCTCCAAGGCCTCCAGCGGTAGCCCCCCCGGCTCCAGCAGCGCCACTCCAAAGGCTCCAGCATCGAGCAAACCATTCGCGCAGCTGCGGTGGAGAGAGAGGCTCCCGCCGTGACAAGGCACCCGTAGGTCGACCAGCAGACAAAGTACATACATGCTCAGCACGCTCAAGCTCAGCACCCCCAGGATCAGCACCCCCATGCTCCGCACGCACAGGCTCAGCACCCGCAGGCTCCGCATTCTCAGACTCAGCAACCCCAGGCTCAGCACCCCCAAGCTCCGCACAGTCAGGCTTAGCACCCCCAGGCTCCGCACTCCCAGGCTCAGCACACTAAGGCTCAGCACCCCCAGATGCAGCATCCCTAGCAACACCACCCCCAGCAGCACCAGAGTTGACAGCTACCTCGACAAGCTTGACAGGGTCTACCTGGGACACACCTGAGGGAGCAGGACCCTGAGGGGGGGAGGGGTCTACCAGAGGAGGACTTG